ACTAAATTCACCACAATTTTCATTACGTTTGCATAAAATTACTAAAAATTTGACTAAAATTTCTGAAAAATTTCTCAACATTTGAATTAGGAATTGTGTAGGATTGTCGCCATTTTGACAAAATTTGCCAAATTGTAAGACCTCCATTATCCCAAAATTGTAACACAATTTACCTCAATTTACCGGGATAATTCTCAATTTGCCAGAAAAATTCCAGGCAAATTTTGCGACAATGACATCTGTTCGACCTGTGATAGTGCTATAGTGAAAATTTTAAGAGATTTGATTGGTTAATTTGTTATAGCAAGAGGAAATTTATTATAGTTGTCTGAAAAATTCACTATATCAAGAGTTCGCTATATCAAAGTTTGACTGTATTTACAATTTCTTCATCTGTAATTTCTTCTCCCCCATAATTATTATCATTATCAATTAAGATAAATTTCTTAGCACTTATTAATCCACCAGAAATAAAATTACTATATTGATACAATTTGGATCTCTTCTATTTCATTTAGGCCATCATCATTTTGTTCTTCATCAGAAGATGAAGGTAAAAGTGAAGGTAAAGGTGAGGGTGAAGGCGAAATTGGCAAAATTCCAGTTTTGGACAAATAATTATAAATAGTTTCACTTGTTACAGCTTTTCAAGCTTTTGTACAAAGTAAAATAGAGTCACTTATCTTCAATTTAGGAACTAGTATATTTAACTCCATTCATTATCATAAGCCTTAATTCTATCTTTTATAAGTCTTTTACGATATTATACCTAAGATTAATAAATTATTAGAATATGTGCTATTAATTTTATAATCTAATTTATAATAAATAATATACAAACTTTGAATGAATTAATAATGTCAGCATTAGCAGGTTGCAGATGCACTGTAATATTGGGAGGCAAATAATGGATTGTAATATTTATCAATAACTCCAATTACTAATAGTATGAACTGTACATTGTCTACTAAGAGAAAGATCTTTTTATTTCGCTTTTTTAGGATTCCAGAAAATACTTATATAGGTAAGGTCCTAAAAATATTTTTTATTAGTAGCTATAAGCATAGGTTTTTACTATAATTGCTAAGCATTGTTAATATCTAAGTAATCTAACCTTAAAAATTATATAAAAATAAGCAAATTATTAATCTTCTAACCTAATTAAATTTTTATTATAACACATATAATTTATAAAATATATTTATTAATTAAATATATTTTATTAAATCTAATTTTAAATATGATCAATACATTGTGAAGCTAAACTAAACATAATATACAAGTAGATTAACAATATTCAATTAATAAAGTTAATAAATAGTAAAAAAAAAATTTTAATTAATACTATTACAATAAATGTAAATTTCTCCATAAGTATTATACTTACATCTATAAAAATTAATATGTAGGTAGTTTCGACCTTGCTGAACAATTTTCAATTAATTTAGAAAGTCAATTTCATTTGACTAAAAGGATGTAATTACACTCTGAATTTGTAAACAGAGAAATGAAAAATTCAGAAGTTAGTACTATTATGAAAAATGCACTTTTCTCCATAAGTATTATACTCACATTTATGAAAATTAATGTATAAGTAGTTTCGACCTTGCTGAAAAACTTTTAATTAATTTAGAAAGTCGATTTCATTTGACCAAAGTGATGTAATTACACTTTAAAGTTGTAAATAAAAAAGTGAAAAATTTAAAAGTTATTACTGTTATAAAAAATATGCTTTTCTATATAAATATTATACTTAGCCTTATGAAAATTAAAATACAAGTAAATTTAACTTGCTGAACAACCTTACTTAAACATAAAAGATAATTTGATATAACCAAAGTGGTGAATAGTGAAATTATATTTTAAAGTAAAATATATTTACAGTAATTTTATTTAACAAATAAATATATATAATATAGTAATTTTATATTAAAAATAATATACTGAGTTTAATAAAAATTAAAAAAATACTATTGAAAGATAATTAATAAAACATTGAAAAAAAAAACTGAAATTTCATAAAAAAATTTTTGTTTATACATTTATATAAAATTGTAAAATATAGTATAAAATTAACACTCACTGTTAGTAAAAATAAAATAAAAATTAATTATAAATTCAATATATAATATTTTAAAAAGTTCTATAAATATGAAAAATAAACAATTAGTAAAAACTTTTAGTATTTTAAAATAATACCAAAAATATGCAATTTAATTATCTTATATAGTATAAAATTTTCTCAAAATTAAGCATTATAAAATTCTTACATCATAAAATTTTTCTATGTTGATTAAGCATCTTGGTACTTTACATATATAATCATTTTCTGGGGCCTCTTAACCTGATCCATTCAGAACTTGTGAAATTTTTTATAAACAATTTTTTTTAATTTCAGAATTAGTAAAATTTTATGGAAAATTGGATATTTTTTATATATAGTTTTTTTTTCTGATAAGTAAATAATAATATAAAATATAAAGTAATTATTATATAGTTAAATATATATGTCATATTGGCCAATAGAGGAAGTTCTTAAAATTTTGAGAAATATTTTTGCGATCAGTAAGAAGGACTGTCATATTAATTGTCAGCCAATAAATTAAACTATACCAGTTAAATATACTTTCAGTGTTTATATTTATCACTTTACATTTATTATATATATACTTGCATCAATACTTTAAAAACTTATTTTACTTTCAACTATCTTTTTACCAAAAAAGCAATAGTTAAGTATTCCATCTGTTATAAATAATAAATATTTTGACAGATTATAGTATTTGGAACAATAAGTTAGAAAGAAGGACAATGAGTTAGATGTGATTTACATAATAATATATATAATAAAAAAAGGGTTAGACATGATTCTACATAAATAAAAAAGGGCTTAAACATATAAAAAAATTTTTTTTTGAGTTTTTAGAGAATCAGATTACATAATATTAATAGTTTAGGAAAACAACTAAGGCCCAATTTTTCCAATTAGCTGATATATAATTTGAAGAAAAATATGATATATAAAAGAAATAATGCATATAGAAGGATATCTGATAATGGATAAAATGGAATTTATTAGTACTATCCAACTTCTTTATCATAAATAAAATCACTTTTTTTTCATATATCTATGAAATGAAAAAAGTAGAGGCAACTACTTTTGCAGCTAATCAGTCTAGATCTTATTTTTTATATATGCTAAACTTAAATCCTATTATCTGATTAAGGTATTTGCTTGAACAATACTAATTGCATTGGAAAGCAAGTAAAATGATAGGATGATCTAGATGGATTTTTAACTTTTTGATTTACAGAAATAATTACAAAATGCTATGGTGTAGTAGGTTCTGTAAATACTTTGTAAAGAAGGGTATTATATATTAAGAATAGGCTATTTTACATAAATTCTACTTTTGAGTAAAACTTATCTACCTAACATACAATACACATGTAAGATGCCTTTAGCCTTTAAGTATAATGAATGGTTTGGTAGTTAATAATATTAGAATTTATTATCTAGTTTATTACATTATTACTTATATATATTTAGGTTAGAACTTAATTTTAATAAACTTTCAAATGCATTGCAATTATAAAAAAAAAATAGAATTCTTTTTACAATTCCATTTCCTAATATTTATTATATTTTAAATATCTGGTATCTTTTCTATTACTTTAATTTTCCTTTCAGGACTTTTTCTCTATTAGTTAAAATTAACAATTAACAATACTGCTAAAAAATCCTTTATTTGTAATATTTACAATATATAATTTTTTTTGCTATAAAGTCAATTTATAATGCTATATAAATTTAAATACTTAATATGAAATAAAGTTTTGGATCTATTTGCTAAAAAAAGGATATTTGTAATATATATTAAGCATATATAAATAACTAAACTATGTATATTTCCTTAGATTTAGATTTTTAATTAATTATCCGGAGTCCGGACTCCGGAGTCCTCATAAATTGTTTAGTCATGTGCAGGTATGATGACGTAACAAACAAATACAAAGATCATGTGACATAATTTTAATTCTCGACCAAAACCTGTTTGTGATTAAAAAAATTATCCCAAAACTCTCTCTCTAAATTAATATCAACAGCCTAATTTTCTTTTCTATTTGTTATAAAAGTCAAAGTCTAAACCTTCAAATACACTTCGTTATTATAAAGAGATTTAACAAGAAAACTCTAACCAAAAAATGCATTCTCTCGCCCCACATCACACTAATCCCTATTTTGCTTCAGCATCGGCTTTAGCAACTCCGAATCCATTGAATGTTGGAGGGGCTAATAACCTAGCTTCGCAATTACACGTTTCCGTATCAAATCTCCATGGTTTACATATGGGTAACGATCCTTGGGGAGCCGGAGCAGGAACTCCGTTGTCTTTGCCGATGCAACACCAACATAAAATGCCGCATTTTGAAGAAGAAAAGATTTATTCTTTAATTACTGAGCTAACAAATCCTGCGAACAGAGAACAAGCTCTTGTAGAGTTGAGTAAAAAGCGGGAACAATATGATGATTTGGCGTTGATATTATGGCATTCTTTTGGTATGATTTTCTTTATATCTTGTCATGGATGAATTTATTGCAAAATACAAAATATGGATTATTAATTATCTTATATCTAAAATCATTTAATATATAAACATAGGTGTTATGGCGGCATTGTTACAGGAAATTGTATCAGTTTATCCACTTCTTGTGCCTCCTCAACTTACAGGCCAGATATCCAACCGTGTTTGTAATGCTTTGGCATTATTACAATGTGTAGCAAGTCATAGTGAAACCCGAGGATTATTTTTAAATGGTTTGTTAAAATTTATGATAGTTTTATCCCTTTTATTATAAAGTTTTTTACTAATTTACAATAAAATTTCCTTCAGCTCACATTCCTTTATTCTTGTACCCTTTTCTCAATACAACGAGCAAGACGAGACCATTTGAATATCTTAGATTAACAAGTCTAGGTGTCATAGGTGCTCTTGTAAAGGTTCATAAATTTAGATTTTCATAATTTAGCCTCAAAAAATTTTATTTATCTTTCATTATATATTATAGAACGATAATCCCGAAGTAATCTCATTCTTGTTGTCAACTGAAATTATACCTCTATGTTTACGTATAATGGAAACCGGAAGTGAACTATCCAAGACGGTATTCTTATTAAGATTTAAATTTATTTTAATTGTATTTAATAATAAATTAATCTTTATTTCTTTGTTTAGGTTGCTATTTTTATCGTTCAGAAGATTTTGCTGGATGAAATGGGGTTGGCCTATATCTGTGCCACTTATGAACGTTTTTATGCTGTAGGAACTGTTTTGAGCAATATGGTTAGCCAACTTGTTGAGACACAAGCGGTTCGTTTGCTGAAGCATGTCGTTAGGTGCTATCTTCGCCTCTCTGATAATCCAAGGTTTGAATTTTGTTAAGTCAAGCAAATATCTAGGGCTATATATATATATAATATATTTTTTGATTTTAGAGCACGAGAAGCTCTTCGACAATGGTTGCCAGAACCACTACGAGATGCTACATTTTCGCAGGTCTTGAAAGATGATGTGGTCACCAAACGTTGTTTAGCGCAACTCCTTGTTAACCTTTCAGACAACGTAGTCACTACGAATTAAATCCTTTCACTCATCCTTTTTATATTGGGTTGTATAATTTCTTTTTGTTTGACTTTTTTTTGAAAGATTCTTTTTCAAAATTATTTAATATAAGCGTTATTTACTATCTCTTCCTTTTTACTTTGAAAGAACTTTTTATTCTGACTATTTTCCATTATAACCCTTTTTTTGTAATCTATTCGTTTTAATATCTTTAATTTCTTCTTTTGCTTCTTTGTAGATTGGGCTATTGAATAATATTTTGTGTTTCTTAATTCATTTAATACTCCTTGGTATCTGTACCATTTTTATTGTAAAGCCAGTTATAATTAGATCTTTGCACATAATTTCATAGATTTTATACCATAAAAAAATATATATCTTAATTAAAAACAGTAGTTCACTTTGTAAATTTGTAAAAAAAAAAGAAAATTTAAATGTAGTTAGGATAAGATTGAAAGTTATAATAATAAGCATTTTAATTTAAGCATTTGTATATAATATATCGTGATTATTGTAAATTAATATATTAATATTTGTTTTCATAAATATAATTAGTAAATACAAATATATTACTGTAATTTGGCAATAGCAATAAATACATATATAATATTATATACAATATATTTATTTATTTTTATTTAATTTAATATATTTGTATTAACTTTTATTAATCAGATTTTATTTCTATAAAACCTATTATAGGATTCATTACCTATTTAACTGGCAGATATATACATTAAAAAAAAAAATAAAATATAAGTAAATTCTATTTATTTTTTAATATATTATATTAAAATATAAACCAGATAAATTAATATAAAATAATTTACAAATTTATAAATACTATTTATATATAATATTTACCTTCAATGAATTTTATTGAAACATGATTTACATTATACTTTAATAAAATTATTAAAAAAATACATGTTTTTGTTCTTTTTTTTTTTATGCCAATTTATTAAATTAAAAGTTTACAAGATAACAAAAATTACAAGTATAATATTATAACTAATAAACCACTTATTATATTGAAAAATACTTTATGTATGCATTGTTTATTGACCAATTGTATTCAATGAATATTGATTTGTCTGAAGTGTAATTAAGGACATATTTGATTAGACACATTGTAATGCAAGATATATCTATCTGCACATATGATTTATAACCAATCATAATGATCATATATTGATTATTATCATATGATCAAATTTTTGGTAACACATCTAACATGTAATTAATATTTTTTATTAAAATTTTAGTAATAAATTAAGCTTTTTTCCTCAAAAAGATTGTTAAATTTTTTGCAAAAAAAAACTATCTAAAAATTATAGAATTAGTGTTATATATTATATAAACATTACATTTTGATTTGATACGTACATTAAATAAGTGCTTCAGACATTACAACAGTTTTTATTACTTAGTATATAAAATATTGCATTTTAGTGTTTAATCACTTTTTATATACTTAAAATGCTAAAAAATCTATTATATTATAGCATTATATATATGTAAAACAAATTGAAAATAATCTGATTATTTTAAATTATTTTCATTTCTTATTACTTTAAAAAGTCCTACTATACTACAAGATTTACACATATAACTAATATTGCTGTCTGAAACTCATTTAATAATAAAATTCAAAAATCTGAAACTTAAAAACTTTATTTTTAATGAAAAAATTGGTAAATCCAAAACTTTTCTAAATTATAATTAGTTTCAGAAAAGCATAAAAATAGTTTCAGCAGTTAAGTTTATTTATAAAAAATAGTTTCAGATTGAAATTTGATTAAACTAAAATTTTGAAAAAATAGTTTTGGCAAGCATCCTTACATATAACATAAAAAATAATGGACTGGTAAGTTATTTGTATTATAATAATTATTATAATATAAATACAATTATTTTAGCTTTTAGTGATTTAATTTGAACAAACTTTTTTTTGTTTTGTAAAGCTAGATTTATAGAACTAAATGAGAGCTATAAATTAAAAAAAAAGTTTGTTAAAATTAGATCACTAGAAGTCAAGATAATTGCATTATAGTAATTATATATAAGAATAATTAAATTACTTATATTTATAATTAGATAATAGATATATAGAAGGAATTCTTTCACTAACATTTATTTATATTAACAAAAAGAAAATATTTTTTTTTTTATTTCTTTATTATTTTTTCTTTTATTAAATACACTTATATATATATAAACTTCAAGTTTTATCTTGATAACAAAAACCCTTCAGGGATATTTAATTTTTATATTTTACTTTTTTAGCTTTATTTTCATATCTCTAATTTTTGTGAGATTTTTGAATATAAAATAATTTGAAGAGTCATATTGCCTAGAACAAGTAAGACTGAAGATACAGTCAACTCCCTCTATAGTCATTCCTATTATAATCACATTTTACTATATAGCAGTATTGTACATGGACACTGTCTGCAGCATTTTACTTGGACAACAATGTCTGTGTCCCGTGTCCGTTATCCATATCCCAGAAAATGTTCCAATCATCACTTGTTATATGGACAGTGTCCAAGCATATTTCCAAATTGTCCAGAACAATTTTATATGTCCGGCCAGTTCAGGATGTCCGTATCTAAGCCACAATAAAAATTTTCATAAAAAATTTTCATTATGCCACCGCTTCCTTCTTTGTTAGCTTCATATATTATTAGAACTGATATTAAAGTTAACAAAAGCAATCTCAAAACTTTTTGTAAACCTTATATAGAAGAGTTGGAAGAGAAGGAAGGGCAAAAAATATGGGTTTCAAATAAAAAAGATCGAATAATTCAACATTTTAAGAAATGTACTAATTTTTTGCCCAAACAAATAAAGAGCAACGAAAAGAAATATTTGAATTATTACAAATTAATAACAATAATGTTATTACGAATATAATTCCTCAAAAGAGAACATGTAAATATTTTAAAAAATTTAATAGTATATTATTCATTATTAAATAATATTTATTTTAATTCCAGACTTTACATCGTATCCTCTCAAGCTTTTCTGGCATCAAGTTCTTTTCATAAAGTAGCAGTGATTAACCGTTCATCATGTTATGGGCCTATGGATAATTATATTGTGCGATCCTTATCTAAAGAAGATTTAAAAAAGTTTAACATGTTACTACTTCGACTTACAGTTTCCTGTGGATGGGCATTATCATAGGTAAATAATCCTAAAGCTAAGGAGTTGTTCGATTTTTTAAATCCTTTTCTTAAACTACCTGATCGCTATATTTTTGGGGTGATATTTTAAAACAAGTTGTAGCTGATGCAGATAAAGCTATGGAAATCGCACTTAAAGAAGATCCTGTTGGTGTGACTTTAACTTTTGATGGATAGACCAATGTAAAGAATGAGCAATTGTTAGGAACAGTTATATTATCTTCTGAAGGAAAGCCTTATGTTTGGAAAATAGTTGATATCACATCTGAACACGAAAATAATACTGCAGTAATAAATAAAACTGAAGCAATACTTACTGAGTTAAAAAATAAAGAAATTACTGTTTGCGCTATAGTTACTGATAGTGCATCTGCATATGCTGCAGCTCGGTATTGTATTTTTTTATTATTTGATTTAATTTATTTAAATATTTAAAGATTTACATATCTTTTATATTATATTATATAAGACACCGGATGAGAATTTCAAATAGGTTAATAATATTTTTACCATGTTTTGCCCATCAGATTAACCTTTGTGTGAGCGAAATTTTCAAAGAATCTACTGAATTTAAGATTACTGTTGATTGTGGTATCCGGCTTGCTATTTATTCTAACAATTCAAATTATAAATTCTTTATTGGATATTTATGAAATTAGTAATATGAAACATATAAAAAACATATTGCAATATCTGTTCTAGGAGAGACATGATAGAATAGTCTTTATAATATATGTGTTAGTCTTTTAAAAATTCAACAAGAATTACAAGTAAGCATATTTAAATAATTTAATCATTTATTAAAAATTAGCAATAAATATAAACTTAATTCTAATTTTTTTTATTAGATTCTAGCTATCAATTTCAAACCACCAATTGTTAAAATACGTCGTCAGCAAGGAGAAACACCAACTTTACCATGTGAAATATTTGAGATTATTGACTCTTCTACATTTTGGGATCAAATTACGCTTATTAATGAAATTCTTGATTCATATTGCAAATTGCTTAATTTACTACAATGTGATAAGGTGCGTTTATTTCAGGTAGTACATAGTATGAATTATTTGGTTCAATTTTAGTTGAATTATTCAGATGATACACTTGCTAAACGAATTATTGGACGATTGGAAAAACATTGGAAAGATTGGGAATAACCCCTCCTTTTACTATCTTATTTATTACATTCTAAGTACCGAATGAATCAATTTAATAATACAATTTCTAGTGTCAATTATTCAGCATTTGGAAAGTGGCTAATGTATTATTATCGTGCATAGTCTGGAAAAGAACCAAAATGTATACTCCGTGAGTTTGATGATTTCTGGCTAGCTAAATATCCATTTGATCTTGAATCTTATAGACAATTTAATAATGATATTTGGCATTATTAGTACTATATTAGTGTTTCTACAAATGAATTGGGTTTTGTAGCTTATAGAATTTTTGGTATATACGTAAATGCAGCTTCTATAAAAAGGCTTTGGAACTGCATGGGGTTTTTACAAACAAATTGGCGTAATAGATTAATGGTATATTTATATTCATATTTTGTTAAAAACATATATATTCTAACATTAATTTTTTAATATATAGTCATCTAAAGCTCTCCAAATGAGTAAATTAAGAGCTGAAATTACATATGGCCAATGTCTTCATAATAATCCACCATCTATTGAACCTACATTAGATATTAATAATGCAAATGAAACTGATATTAATCAACATTTTAATAATATAAATGGTTTGCATAGGTCGAAAAGTGAAAAATCAGGCATCAATCAGTCATCAATCAGTCACCAATCAGGTATCTGATTGGTGACCGATTGGTGACTGATTGGCATTTTCGCTAAATACCATCACCAATCAGGCAGTTTGCTAACTTTTAATCCAGTGATTAGAAAAGAATGAAATATAGCTCATTGGAATTGTCTCAACAAGACGAATCTAATGATAGTAAAATCGCATCTCTAGGATTAATAGTTAATAAAAAATTAAATAAAATATAAATGATACATTTTTATTTTTCACAGGTAAAACGCTGACC